AATTATATGTGGACTGTAATAACTTCAAAATAATAATGTTAAAATTCTCACTCACTATCAACTAAACACACTCACAACGAAAAAGAGGGGATTTCAAGCGCCAAACAAAATAATTTAAAATATTCTTGCAAACATTAATAACAATTGAAATTACACATACAGGGTGACCTATCACTAATGTAGCTGCCGACGCAAATAACACAACAATATATTGATGGGTTTATTTGTGATAAATGTCAATGTGGTAACTATTTTGTGTGACCAATATCAATCAACAGTATATAAACAAAAATCGAATGGTGGAATTCCTGTTTAGTATCCGATCACCACGATTCGAAATGCCCAGAAAAGTTTTAATCGAACGTTGTCAGGTGTGGATCGTCTACGAATATTGATGTCAATAAAAATATAACTTTGGACAGTTACAAAATGTTCGAGCAGTTCAAGAACGAACTGCTGGAGCTTAAAGATTAGTGTATCTACACTAAAGAAGATTATTGACGAAGAAACTAATGTAGCGTTCCCGAAAATGATCAAGGAACCTCGCTAAAAGATGAAAACCGTCGATTAATCTAAAGTACTTTAGCATACTGTACGAAATATTGATATATGCAATGGCAAACGGTCACAAAACCATCCACAAGCACCTGTCCAGCTAGCTTAGGTGCACTAACACAAATTTCAATATTGACGGAAAAATTCAGCAGCTTTAACCGCCTCAATTAATTGACAAATTATTAAATAACGCTTAATGTAATTCTAGGTACGAAATAGAGAACTCCTATCTGGGTCGTAATTTGAGCTCGATTAATCACAAAACCAAGCATTTATAGCTGAACACATTTATTCGACATAAAACAATCACATGAACTGGAAGAAAAACAGGCACTCAGGGTCAGAATAACACCAAACCACACGACAAGCGATTGATTAAACAAATTAATTTAAATAACGTTTTAATTACCCTAAGTAAGTTGGTAATCGGTCAAACGAAATTCCAAACTGAATAAATGTAGTCTTTTAACACGTATTTTAAATTTACAATTACCAAAACAAAATAAACTGCACCAATTTATTCAGAGAACGAGCGACAAAGTCACTTCCGGTTGATGAATATTGAGCAAAGTTAATCAGTTAATCCCTTGACGATTGGCTACCTATTACTGAAAACAGAATTGTAAAATTCGAAACCGTCCGTGAGTTATCGTGTCCACAGACGGACGGACCGACGTACAGAAAGTCCAAAATCATGAACTCGCTTTTTGTCTTGTTATAATATGATCGACATTACGTTTAAACTCCAATAAACAACCACATTTAACGTTAACAATGGTTGAAATGCGTATACAAGATGACCCATCATTACTGCAGGTTGCCAAATAAAAGTAGTTTACACAACAACATAATTTATGAGAGGTATACTCAGAAGGAAGTGCTTATATTAGAATCACTTGCGGATACGTACATATCATGGGAAAAATATTGGTCAATATTGGTTTTAAATACAAAAAAGATTGCAATCGGAAAGCACTTTGTATAAAAAATTGTTGTGGCATCCGCAAGAGTACAATTTAAAAAAATGTATCAACACCTCTGTCAGTTGGATGAAATGTCGGTCAAATAAAAGATTTGGCACGATAACATTCCCAAAAGCACAAGGAATCCAAATACTCCTCTAATGGTAAAAGTCGCTGTGGAATTATAAGGTTAAACGGTAGCTATCGCACACTATTCATGATATGGAATCTAAGAAGAAGGTTTTAGTATTAATGGAAATTACATATCGCTGTATTACCTACCACCTCAGTAAGAAATGTTTCCACTAAAGTATTGCAGCGAATTTTCTAAAGCGGTATCAGGGCGCCATTAAGTCGATAGAAGATAAGTGACCGGCGATAAAGATTGGAAGGCAGAAAAAACGCCCTTCTGAGCTCAAAAGGCTCAAAAAGCTCAGTCGGACAGCCAGCCAAATGAATATAATAGCGTATTTTTTTCCTTACATATTTCAGTCAAAGATATTGACTACATTCTATACTAATTGAATACATGAAAAGGATTCAAATACTTTTTCAAACCGAGAAAGAAAATTAACTATTTTTTCTTGGTGAGAGTAACCTATGGCGGATTTTATGAACATTTCAAATAACACTACCTTTGCCCCTTTGGTGAACATAAAAATATATACAAAAAACCTTAATAATTGAAGGTGTTTAGAGTTAACACGGAAAAAATCCTGAAGTAAAAAGAAAGTCAAAATGAAAGTGATAAATCAGCTCTTGTGAAAACTTCGATCCATCATTATGTAGTTCGCGGGGGTCTACAACTAAATCAAATATAAAACTCTATAAGAAATCAACAAGTTTGAGTGAGTTTTCTTTCTTTATAAATCACATTATTTTCTAAACCGCGCTCCATAATTTAGCGTGAAATGCCGTACAGACCGCCCGCCATCCCGAGCACTTTACCTGGTTACGATAAACATTCTGAAGTTTGCAAATGAATGCCCCATTGTTGCTTTGAAAACGAAGAGGAATGTTAGAACTTTCAAGTAGCTTTCATTACTATTCGCGTTTACAATAATTATATAAGGGACTACAAACCGCATTAAATGTTAACAAAATTCATTTCATTTGTGTAATTGCATGCGATGCTTGCTTTTCATTTTAGTTATAAATGCGAAAAAACCTGAATAAGACAAGGGAAGCGGTGCATTAAGTTTTTACATTATAATTTTAACATATTTATGTCTGAAAAATGTAAATGGGAAAATTGTTGAAATTTTTCATCATAAATCATTCAATATTTTAGCGTAGATTCAAATAATATTCCACATATACATGAATTATTTATGAACGCGTAAACTACTAACGATAGAATTCTTTTATCAAATCCGCCTCACATAAGCGATGGAAATCCAATAAAATGTCAGATTACTTCCTATGCGTATTACACGGCGTCTTCCGGATTTACTTACCTACATTTCGTTGCTAAGATAGACCTTATCGATTATACATTTTCTCACGGAAAACCGAATGTCATAAGCGATTTGTACCTTCCGTAACATTACATCTATGGCACGATTTTTGCTGAGAAATTCATATTTCATTACCGAAAAAAAAGAACGTATTAACCCTGACGTTTTCATTTCATACTACTCGCTCTTCTCGCGTTTTCTTTTATAGCGGGCGATATTATTTTGAATCACATAATAAATGGGGTAGTCATAATTTCGTCTCGACGAGACCACCCTTATGTACAAAAAATAACTCTTCGGTCCTCCACCAACCGAAATATCCTTCATTTGAAGACGTTTTTTTATTTATTAATATTGTTTATACAAACAGGCAATTGTTCAGAATTTCAACTTCAAAAATGGAGAGAAACAATCTTATATTTCTGTGGCCCCACGTTCGGTGCCAAATCAATAATGATGTGTGCAAAAATAAACGGGCAACTACAGAACTACACCACCCACAAAACACCTGTCCACTGTCCAGCTAGCTCAAACAAATTAAAATTGAAACTTAGAACTTTTATAATTTCTGCTCGTACACATCCTAATATTGACGGAAATTAACAATATCGGAGATTAAGTGGCCTCGATCAACATCCGAAATTGCAAATAATTTATTAAGCAATTTTTTTTATCAACATCTGACATTTAGACATGAATAGAAAAATCTGACATAAAGACTATGGGGGGGGGGGGGGTACAATGGATTAGAATAAACAAAAATTGATTGACAATGACAACAATTTAATTTCTAAAGTAGAGAGAAGCTTACCAAGCTTGTTTTTACATGGACCCCGTACGCAGGCGGTCGATAATTAAAAATGAAGGAATTTTAAAATTAGTTTTTTTCTCTTTTAATAATCCTAAAATCTGGTCAGGAACAGGTTTGCGCTAAACTGGCGCACTTAACAAAACCAAACAAATACACGCGCTGAGAGTTTCAGGAAACTTAACTTTTTTGTTAAAGACGATGATAAAAAAAAGGACCTTGACAATGGGAAGTATTTGTTAAAAGTTATGTCCGACCATCAGATTAGGATCAATAACTGAGTCCTCACCGCGTAAATCACTTGTAAATATAAATCCGCTAAATCGTGATCGATGGAGTAAGCCACTACACCAGAATGAAATAATAACTCCAAAGAAAGTGTTACAATACCCAAGTTGTCCCTTTTCAGGTAGACTAAGTCAAGTAAAGTAAAGGCATATTACAATTTTATAAAATGAGAACCACGAGAGCAAAATCTTCTAAAGGAACAAACAACGCGAATACGAAAGAATTAAGGAAAGATCAAGAGAAATGGGAAAATAGACAAAAAGTACATTCGGGTGACCTCTAGCGGGAGAATAAAGAAAACAAGAAGTGAAAATGTTACCAGCAAAACTAACTACAACGAACTTGCACGCGAATCACACGGATGGCGTAATGGGTAGCAAATGGAATAGAAAAATTTAAAAAAACGTTATAGGTGAGCGGTGAGAACTCAAAAATTTTCACAAAAAGGTGGATCATCCACGCCCTATTTTAAAAAAATGAAGGAGATATACCGAGAGCTATACGATACCCTAATTAGAACTCAAAATTTGCATAAAAAATGTTGAGTATTTTTCTTGGCATTTGAAGTATAGAAATCGTTTTAATTTTTCTATTTGAAAGTTTCAGAACCAAAATGAACGAGGTTGCCAAAAACTATAAACGAAATCAAAAATTCTAACCGTAAGATGTCTTCAAAGAGCCATCCTATCGCATCATACCATAGCGATGCGGATAAAAGGACCAAAAATGACATTGTCGTTCCACATGTACTGAAGGTCGACTTTAATGACGGTATTGACGATATGTGGGAAATTGTGCGATATGTATCAAACTGTCATAAAGTGGTTATTTCAAAAGTATCTAATTTTCATACGAACGGTTTATGCAAATTTGGTTCCCGCGAACAAGGTAAATAAATGGCATGTTACCTACGTCTTTAGATCAGATTTACGGAAATGTGCTTCATAATTGTTTTATTTGGAACTACGTTGTTCACCACCATCGAACCAGCCCAGTTACGTAAGTGAGTCGATTACCTTTCCAAGTATAGAACTATTAAATGTCATTCTAGCAAGCTACTTTCCAAGATGTTACCAGGATGATCGGAACATAAATGAGTGCTTCATAAACGCTGCCAATAGTTTAAATCAATACGTCAGAAGTGGGATACCGGAAATAGGTTTGCGTCCATTAGACCCGTTCGTTTCTCCCGACTTAAACTTAACAATCGAATCTCCTATCACTGATATTGCTGCATCTGCACAACGATTTACTTTTTACCGGCTGTACAATTACCGATTGAATTCTGCGGAGTAAGTGGCCACACAAAAGGTGCTTGCAAGTACTTTAAACATTGTTCTAGGGTTCGACCGAAAGATGGTGCGATAAATGGAACAGTTACCTTACCGGATGTAGGTCTATCGGCAGATTACCAAGTTCATGGACATATCGTAAATCTTCCACTAAGTGGAAGTGGTGACGCAAAAGTAGAATTTGGAAACATTATTTGCGATTTTCTAATCGACAATTGGCTCGAAAAATTTAGTTGTAACGAAATCAAATTAGAAATGTCATGCAAAATCGAAGATGTCAAGATGAACCTTACCGGAATACCCAACGAAGGTAGTGTTATTTTCTCCTTATTATTTTTTTAAACAAAATTTACAGATGCGACGAATACACTTATAAATCTGAGCTCCAAGTTGGTCGCATCGGAACTTTCCCCTGCCTATTCAAACATTTTTAAGTTACTTTTCAGGCCGTTCCTCAAACGCTTGTGCAGAAAATACCCACTGGACCATTTATTTCCGCTGTCTTCCTAGTGTGACTATTAATGAAATGTTAGCAACTGTAGTAACTGTTACGTGATATTTCCCGCGGTATTTTAATAGTAAAGTTTTTTGAAAATCGCGAAGGTCTACACATCTCCCAAGTTTACTCGAGTTTGTGTTATCGTAATTGTAAGCTTTTCTCAATTTGGTATCGTTTACGCACCGCAAACCATCGTAATGAGAAACCGGAAAACACGTATGCAACAACTTTATTGCATTAATTATTTTAATTATAAGGAGAGTAATATACAGGGTGTCACGAAACTCGCACCCACAGATAAAACTGAATATAAAAACCTATTAGCGATCTTACAGACACTTTTCAAGATACGAGGTTGCCAAGAAATTAGTAAGAAATGAAGAATTCTTTTTTATGTTGATTAATAACTAATAGCTAGCTGCTCATAAGTCCACCATTTGCTGCTAAACATGCGTCTGCACGTGCTTGGACATGTTGAATAGCATTATTTATCATTTCTGCTATTTCTTCAAAGAGCATCTAGCACAGGAACCCTACATAAGGATGTTCAACAAATTAGAGACAAGCTGAAATTTGGCAAGGTACTTTGCTTTAAGGTATTAAATATCTTAGGAAACCCCAGCGCCGATGCGTTGAGCTCGTCACCCCAAAACCACCCCTAAGTTGGAATTTTTTTTAATAACTCAAAAACTAAGCATTTCAAGAACAAATGTCAAGAGAGAAAAATTGTAGAGAAGAAAATATACGTATTTTAGATGTTCAGTGGCGCAGAATCCGCAACCGCGGACGTATAGGACTTCCCGGCAACCACATACAGTCAGTGTAGATTAATTTGACGTTGTTATCGTATTTTCCTCAAAGTGAAAAATTTGGCTGCATTTTGTCGTCTGTCCGTCCGTCACACGTACTACTTCTGCGACCTAACCGATTTGGGTGATATGGAGCTCATTTGAAAGGGCTTGAAGCAAGGATTCCGTACGTACATATTTTTGGTTTTTAAATTATTGTTTCGCACGTGCGCAGTGCCAACTTTCTTACTTACAAAAGCATTTAAATGAATTTTGATACAGAGGCACTTGGAATAAATCAAACGCAAGTTTTAACATTTGGTTTTGCGCATGTGCAATGCCAACTTTTTATTTACGAAAGCATTTAAATGAAATTTGATACAGAGTCACTTGGAGTAAAAGCAAATCTAACACCAATTTCATAATGGGTTCTTGTGCACGCGCACTCCCAAGTTTCCTATTTACGGAAGCATTTAAATGAAACTTGAGACATGGGCACTTGGAATAAAAGGAAATTTAAAACCAGTTTCAAAATTTGGTTCTGTGTATGCGCACTGCGAGCTTTCTTATTTACAATTATTGACAATGCATTTGTTGATACTTTTTAATTTATCTAGGTATATGAAAAACTGACACGTAGTACTACTTGTGTGCAACTTAACTTAATTGGTGTACACCAAAAATTCAAATTCAAATTAATTCACGTTAATTCAAATTAATTCGTCTTAATTCAAATTAATTCACATTAATTCACGTTAATTCACGTTAATTCAAATTACTTCACGTTAATTCAAATTAATTCAGAGGGGTGTACACCAAAAATTCAAAGTTGTTTCCCCCTAGCCCACTTCCAACGTCTCGTTCACCCGCAATTCGCGGTTGGTGGATTTCGCTAAAAATCCTCCACAAAATAGTACTCAATTTTTGGGCCGCTGCTCTTAGCTCGAGCTTCTATTGGCGACACTAGAAAGAGAGACCGCGATTTGGGCTTTAGGAAACTTTAAACCACGTGACAAAATTCACAGGGGAGGGCAACTTTTGAGCGGCCGAAGTCGACTACCCCTCGAAGACGCTCGCCTTGTAAAAGGTGGTTTATTTCGCCTCTACGAAAAAAAAAAACAAAATTCCGTCATTCAGGAGTTGGGCGCATCTACAAGATCTTTCCGACGACACTATTTTGAAAACAATCGAACTATAGAAGAAGATAGGGAAAAACTGAAAACTCACCCCGTTAGTATAACACGCTCGGGGATGGCGCCCAGATGTCGCCCCGTCCCTAAAGTTGTTAATTACACGGCCCCGGTAGGTACATGTATACTCCTCCTCTTTCCGCAAGCGTTCTTCTACGGGTCCGCATTTGCTGCAAGTCAGTCAGCCAGCCGGCCGGCCAAAGTGAGATTAAAAGCTACCTTTTTACAAATAAATTTGCAAAAATGCCATGAAAAGAAGGATAGTTTAGATAATATGACTGCAAGTACGAACTACTAAACGGAGAATGAGAGGGTGCTTAGACCTTTAAATTAAAGTACCTTGCCAAATTTCACCTTGTCTCTAATTTATTGAACGTTACCCATATAAAACGATGGATGGATTTATTTTCTTATTCGACAACGACATAAACTTCTAATGTCGGTGTAGCTAATAAAATTGATTGAAGGGTAATAAAATCCTATTTGTAATTGGAAGCTGTGATCGATACCGCCACCTGAAATGAAAGGTCTGCAGTAATCGTCGTAAATTGTTAACACAATTTACTGGAAACCGTTAAGCGCATAAAACAATGGAATAGTAATGCCGGCGATGATTTATGTGGGAACTAGGAGCACATGCCTTAGCTGAATGTTTTGAATAATAGCTTACTGCAAGAAAGTTCGAATGCATGAAGCTCAAATATTATTCTAGCTCCGGAACTGTCTTCGGGACTTTTATCTTTAAAGCTTTAAATATGCATCCTTTCGCCCAATCATTTTTACATTCTGTACCTAAACGTAAATAAAGCAAATGATCACTTATACGTGTAAGAGGTGCCATTAAAAAAGCATTTAATTATTAAAAGGCGAGCTTTCGCAACTACCTGCTAACAGCATAATTACTGGACTGCGGGTTACCTGTGGTGGAAATTTATACGTACTGCGACGCATCCTTATTTTATACTGTATTTGTGCGTCGTTTTCATGGCACTCGTTTCAAATTAACGATGCGGCTCTATGCTATATTGGAAAACAGGATTATGTTTAACCACGTGTAAGTAAATTAATTGTATAAATTTCGCCCTACATATTAAAGCTAAATCTCCAATCTCCGTTCAATACCTAAAGTTTATTTAGCACGATATTTCATACTCGTTTCGTTAATTAACGCAATACCAGCGTGGCAATACTAAAAAAGTCGTAGTGAATAAGAGGTGAAAAAAAAGGTCTTCCGATACAAATAAAGAAAATTCCCGATTCCTTCATCAAAACATAAAACAAAGAAATAAAATAAATAATTTGGATATTTTGTAAGCTGCAACTTCCTGGAGAAATTAACGAAAATAACTTTATTATCACCCTTTCCACGCTACGGATTCTATCGTAAAGGCAGAACGTCCGAGTTTAAAGAGCTTACAAAATACGCTTAGAAAACAGCTTTTATTTCCCCTTTAATTTTAAATAAAAATTAACCATTGAACACTCCGTTCGTCCGCCCACCCATCCTTTCCTTTTTTCTGCTTTTAAAATCCAAAAGACTATTTTGTTTAAATCTTTACTTTTAGTTGTACGAATTTTATTTTATATTTATTTCTCATATCACAATACTTAACTATTACACTCTATAATTCTGAAAAATTGTTCTTTTCCTTGATACCAATCCTTTGAGAGCTTCCTCTAAGATTGATTACATAAAAATTTTGTATAGCATGCTGGGTTTAAAGATAAGTAATTCTATATCGTCCTTAAATTCTTCCAACTTATGCCAATTAATCATTTTCTTTTCATAATTTTCCTCGTAAGTTTCTCTATTAAATTATGTTCAATTATACTCGCCACTTCCTTTAAATTTTTCTGCCATTTCATTTTCGAATTCATTTTTTATCATTCGTTACTCTGCTACTGGTTCTTCATTGTGTCTAATTTTTTTTATTATTTTCTTCAAAATGATTTTCCATTCTTATTTTGGCTTAATTATTTCATTCTTCTTTATGCAAGTTCTTTTGCCAATTGTAAAATAATGTTTTCTGTTCTCTCTCTTCTTGACTTAATTTTTGTATAAATTTACCACCTTTCCTTCTGAAACTTTCTTTATTACTGCACCATTGTCAATTCGTATGCACATCCTGGTACGTTTTGTTTCACACTTCTAACTCTACGTGGAAAAAATGCTAGATGGATTTCAGTTCAGTTCATTAATTTCTCTCGGTGCACGCACTTCTTTATATAAAAACGAGATCATTACTTATAGAAAATACACGCCATTAGTCACTCGACAATTTTTTGTCAGCCGTTTTGGGATATTTATTAGTGCTGTATAATTTTAGTGAAATTTCTCCCTTTCTGATTTACTCTTCTCTTCATTATTACCTACTGGAATGTGCTTTCTACATCGATATTTGAGATTGGAATACCGCCGAATTTTGAATTGTCTCAATATTGTGCAAAGAAGATTCATTTAGAAAGGTCCATCGCCATTTTGATCAAGTCAAGAACGCCATAGATGAGTTTCTACGTTACAGGCTACGAAAATTCTCCTTCAATTCTATCAACATTACCTGTGTCCTAGTTACACACGATGTTTGTTGATCTACACTACGATATCTGTCCCTGAACTATAACCGCCGAAACCATTACTGTTGTTATCGCTCCGTTCGAACTGATACTACGTACTTTGTTTTTGTAGTTACCGAAAATTTGATTTTACCGATACCGATCTTGTCTACGATTACTTTGTTACTACGAAGATTCGTTGTTGTTAGCTTGTATCCTTCATTAGCTGTGTTATTTGAGATTTTAGCTGACCTTGCTTTGTAAACAAGTTTTTGAAGTGACCAAGGCTTCGTCCGAAGCCGATTTCTACACTTTTTTGTTACGTGTTACGCTGTCCTAAGAATTTGCTCGCATTAGCTTGTTTACATCTTGAATTAATTAGATTACATTGAAATTCACTAGAAACTTACTTATTTTGGTATCGGAATGTAATTTTTTTGAATTTAACGTGACGCTTATGCTTTCAGACCGATTTTTCTTTTGAAAAGGCAATTGTAGTCGATCCAAATTTTTTTTGATGGCATAAAAGTCGTTCGAGTTATTGATTCGTTTTGTATTAATCACAGTT